TAGTTAACCATTTATACCAATCATGTAACTCACACAACTAATTTAGTCCTGCATCCCTTTGGCTTAGCTGCCTCTCCCAAGAAGGTACAGTTGATTTTAATGAGGATATATCTGGTCCATTGCTTGTTACAGATTTCTGAGATCAGGTTTATAATTAAAACCCCCACATCATGACTCACATTTTAAACAAGCCTTGCACTTAAGTCTTATTTCACACAAGTTTTATGCTAGTGTAACTCCAGTGGCTTCAGTGGCTTTACTCCTGATTTACACTGATGTGAACTAGAGTGGAATGAGGCCTCTGAACTTGTTTTTACTTGCTGTAGTTGGAAATTAGGCACCGTACAATGGATCTAGGAAAAGCACTCTTATGGTCATGAATCATTACTATCTCTGTTTTTCGTTGGACTGATTTATACAGACCCTGATGGCAATATGGATTATTTATATATTTGTTTACCACAAGCTTCCCTGAGATTGGGGCTTCCCTTACGAAAGCACATTGGCGTATCCTCGGTAAGAGGAAGGTGTGTAAAGAGAGGGTGCATAGTCCAGTGGTTAAAGCACAGGGCAGGCAGGCAGGCAAGTGGTGTTCTGTTCCCAGCATTGGGCTGCTGTGAGAGTCAGTGCAAGGGAGTAAAACCAAAACTGGAAATCCAACAAGAAATTGGGGGGAAAGAAACCCATGAATAAATATCCTAACCAAAAAAAAAAACACTGAAAAAACCCAAGAGGCTCCATTTCTTGGCAGTCGTGTCCATGAAAACATTTAAAACAATTAAAAAAAATAAATCCAAATTGGTTTCACAAAACCGTTTTTTAAAAAAGCTGATTTGATGTCATTTTTTCAATTGAAAATTTTTAAACACCTCTGCGACCTGTGCCTCAGTTTCCTTCAATTTTACACATGGTTAGTAACCTTGACCTACTTTGCAAGGGTGCTGTGAAGCCGAGTGTGTTCATGTACATAAAGGGCCCAGAGTTCCTCAGATGAAAGGTGCTGAAGGGCAATTTAAAAGCTCCAAACATGGGTGTAGCCTGTGAGTCAGGGATTGTGCCCTGCCTTATATGTGGGAGAAATGGGTTTACACTATCCCTAATGCGGTGTACTATGCATGAGACATAGATGCACCCTGCAGGAAATATTGGGGTGCCCTGGGCAAAACACACATAGACCCTAAACAAATATGAACACATCTGACAGAAATGGGCATGTCTTTATGCAAAGAAAGGTGTGCTAACTCAGGGTAACTAACCCAAATTAGCTAACGCAGGCTAAAATAGCAGTGAGGACATGAAAGCTCAGTTTTAAACTCAGGTTAGCAGCTCAAATTAAAGATTGCAGGGAAGCCAGGGATTAAACTCAAGCTATTAATTTGAATTAAAAAAAACAGTTTGCCGTCTTCACTTCTACCTTAATCAGAGTTGCCTAAACTGGGTTAAGAATTTACTTATTTGCAGTGAGGAGCTAGTGTGCTAAAAATAGCAGAATGGACGCTGTAGCACTGGTGGCAGGGTGGGCTATCCGCCCCCGTCCTAGGCCGCCTGACCCCTTAGGTCTGAGCTTGGGTGGCTAGCCCGAGCTCGCATCCACGCTGCAAGGGCCACACAGCTATTTTTAGCAGGCTAGCTGGAGCAGAGCTAGCGTGAGTCTGTCTCCTCAGGCTGGGATGACCCCCAGGACATAGATACAGCCTGTAGTAACCACAAATCTGTCCTATGAAAAAGACAGCTGTGCCCCAGTGGAGCAGCGTCGGTAGGCTGGCCTGACTTGACTGGAATACCGATGGGAGCTATAGCCTGGGAGTCAAGACACCAGCCCACCCTAAAAGCTACCAGCCGGGGACTGCTATTAATCCTCAGAATTCCCCACCATCCTCCCCGGCACGGGCACCCCTTGCAGTCAAGCTGCTACAGCAGTGCTTAACAACGAGGTCAGAAAGACGGTGTCTGGCTCATCTTTCAGATAGGTGAGTACAGGATCGATCCACAGCAGAGGCCAAAGATAACAAGTGGGAGGCAGGTCATGTGTCAGCGAGGAGTTTTCTGACCGTCATTCAATGAAAGTGAGGTGCACCAATGGAAAAGCAAAGGTGGCGGCCTTTTCCTTTAGCCCTTTCAGCCATGTCCAAGGGCAGCCCTTCAGAAGCAACCTGGCCAGGAAGCTGGGCAGCGTGGGGGCTGGGGGGGGGAGGGCAGGGGGGTTGCATTTAGCCCTCACTCACTGGGCACGATATAGCTATGGTTATCAAACCTGGAGCACCCCACAGGCTGACAAGGACAGCTTGGGATTCTGCAACAAGCAGCAGAGACCGGAAGGGGGTAGGCAAAGCTGACACTACACAGAACTAACGTACAGCAGCCAGTCAATACTAGTAATGCTTTTGGCTCAAAACACTCTGCCGACTCAAGGCAAACACAACCCAGCATGCAGGAAGCTAGCAAGCAGATATAATGCAGGCCTGTCTGCTTTTGACTACAGTCCATTGGCTATGATCAGAATAGTTCCCCCTCCTTGCATGGGTAGCAGTTAGAGGCACTGCATGATTCTACAGGAACACAGAGAGCGTGCGCGTGTAAACGCATGACCGTCACCATCTTGCCTGACACACCAGGGAGTGAACTGGGGACCTCGGAGCTGACGAGTATGAACTGCTGTTGCTTGAGCTAAAGAGAAAATGCTCCCTGGCTGAGGCTGTAACAAACGCATCTCCCCTGTGCTCATCATACACAGCCCCTTAGCCACAGCAGGGTTTTCTGCCCCCTAAAACCTCCACAACTTCATTACTACTGGTCCAGCTCCCACTGTGGCAGAATTAGCATGTACAAAGTTCTGGCATTCAACATTCCCTCCTCATCGCCTGGTGCTGCCAACCCCAAACATTCAAAAAACCAGGAGCCAGGCCCTCTCAAAATATAGGACTGGCTTTAAAACTGTGCAGGTTTATAAGACGACACAGAGAGTTACTCTGAATTTACATCAGAGGAACTTAGATCAGAATCTGGACCATAACCCTTTGCACTCCCTAACCAGACCCAGAGGGGTAGAAACCCAGTTGCCTCTCTTTGAGCTGGTCTATTGTCTTCATTCTTCAGCTTTAATGCCAGTTTGAAAAGCTCTGCATATTTTTCTCAGTACATGTGAGAACAGACTACTCCACCCTGGAAGGTTCTTTAATCACTTTCAGTTCCGCAGGGCTGTTGCTGAGATCCTTTCAGCTCATAGGCTACCAGTTTGTTGCTTTTAAGTTTTCTTTCTCTTTGTCTCTCTCTGCACTGATAAAATCCTTAATTAAAAAAGATAAGAATTGAGGACTGAGCAATTTCTGGAATCCAGATCCAAGGCGTAGGCTGCTCAGATTCACGGCTTCGGTTCTACCCACTACAGACCAGCTGCAAAGTATGGACCTTGACCTAACTTCCTTCAGAGTGTGGGTGCTTAGATTTGGGGTTCTGGTGTGGAGCCTCTCTAATAAAAAGTATTATGGGGAAAAATGACACTCTCATCCTAAAGGAATAAACCCATTTTAGTATTGAAACTGAAACTAAGCACAGACCACAGGCCTGCTGGACACCCTTACTGGGTGTAAATCCGGAGTAATTCCCCTGAAGTTAGTAGAGTGAAATCAGTATTAAATCAATGCGAGAGGAGAATCGGCTCCATCTCTGGAACTCCCTGAAGGTATACTTAATCCTGCCTTGGTGCAGGGGGATGGACTAGCTGACTTTGGAGGTCCCTTCCAGCCCTACTTTTCTGTGATACAAAGCACAGGGGCCTTTGCCTTTGGACCGTTCCACGTCTACAGCTCATCAACATTTTATCATTAAAAAGCTGGAAGGGGACGGGGAGGGAGATGAAATTGACATGTTGACCAGTACGACCCTTTCGTGGAAAATTTTGGTATTGCTCAAAATATTTCATCCACGCAAACTGAAAATGTTCAATGTGATCTGAATCAAAATGAAAAACTGTAGGGGACTCCGCCAATTCTTCTCCTTCCCTGCCCCCTCTCCCCTTTTCCAAGGGGGAAAAAGAGAAGAAAACAAAACCCCGACCGCCACAACTCTTTCATTTTATTTGGACAAAAAAGTCAAAGTTTCAAAGGGAAAATTCAGGGGAAAAAAAAGAAAAAAAAAAGAAAAGAATTCTTATCTTTTTCAAAAATGTCCACAGAAAACACTATTTTTGGCCGGCCTGAGCTCTGCCAAGCAAGCTCTGAAATCGTCACGTATTCAGCTTTGAGGCCCGCTGCTGGTAGAGGCCTCAGCAGAGGACAGTTTGATTCTTGTCCAGTGTGAAAGTGTGTTGGGGCGGAAAGGGGGTTAAAATTGTACTGGTCACATGACTGGCGATCACATAATATGCGGTAAACTGAGAAGACGTCATGCTGAGGTTCTGATTGATTTTTACGTTGTATCGCCCACATTGTTCTCTTTTTTTAAATGCATGGCAGAGTTTCCTAAAGCTCTAGATGCATGCCCCATGGCATGAAGTTTATATGAGATCAAAATCTAAATCGATAAAGATACTAGGATCATTTTATACCAAGTATGATCCATTAATTTTCTCCCCTACCTGTACTCATCACCTTAAATCCTAGGGAGATCCCATCTTAAACAACAACACATTTTATTCACCATATTCATTTTAATTTCAACCTTATTTTGTGTGTGAGTATTACATGCGAGTGCACAAGAGAGACCCAGTTAAAGCCGATGTCATTGACCTCACACTCTCTTGCCCTGCCCACATCTGCAAGGAGGTAAGCTCAGCTTCTGATGGCAAAAAAAGTAATTATTTTCTAAACAAGCTGCAGAACCAGTTGCTGCGTCTTAATCAAAATTATTTTTCTTTTTTTAAAAAAAGGATATAAACAATCCTTCTTCCCAAAACCTGGTTAGGCAAGAATGTTCTGGGTGTGGGCTGCCTTGTATAATTAATCACACAGCTGTGGCTTCTGATCCCTTTGTAACATCTCTCTCTCTTGCTCTACCCAGCATAGTTCTGGTGTTCTCCACCTCCCAGCAGCTCAAGGTGTGTCATTTAGGCAGAGGCTTTCCTGCATTCTGCCTCCACTCCTTGCTGACCCAACCACCAGCAAGGTTGCCTGCTCTACAGAGAAGAGCAGTTGGCCAAAGATCTGCTCCGTGCCTAGAGGGCTGAGAAAGGAGCAAGGGTAGAGAAAGGCCAATTCATCCCTCTGCACAATGGAAACAGGGTGTGCCGCAAGGACAAATGGCATGGCTGGGAACCAAGAAGATGTGACTTGTCTGTCCACCCCTAAGAAAGATGGAGAGGAGCTGAAGTCCACCAGTCCCAGTGGGGGTGAGAAGGAAAATGCCAAAAACACTGGCAGTTCTTCTGTGGAGACAGGGAAACTGAAGAGCTCTATCTACTCAGGGACTGACTGGAAGAGGCCGATCATCCAGTTTGTGGAGTCAGATGAGAAGAAGTCAACCTACTTCAGCATGGATTCAGGGGATGGGAAGAAGCCATCATACCCTGGGGTGCAGCTTGGGGATGTGAGTCGGCCCCCCATCTCCTTTGTAGACAAAGGGGACTTGAGGAAACCGCTCTTCTTGGCAGAGTCGAAAAAGACCTTCTTCTCCAGTGAAGGAGAGGGCAGGAGGTCAGTGTACTCAAGCGGGCAGATGGGGGATCTGAAGAAGCCCTCCCTCCCTCTGGTGGAGACAGGGGACCTGAAGAGACCCAGCTACAACACCGCCAACAGAGTGTCCGGGTCGAGACCCCGGGTGAAGCTAGAGGAGGTCCTGTGCGACTCCTGCATCGATAACAAGCAGAAGGCAGTGAAGTCCTGCCTGGTGTGCCAGGCTTCCTTCTGCGAGCTGCACCTCAAGCCCCATCTGGAGGGGGCTGCTTTCCGGGATCACCAGCTGCTGGACCCCATCAAGGACTTTGAAGCCAGGAAGTGCCCGCTGCATGGCAAGACCATGGAGCTGTTCTGCCAGACAGACCAGATGTGCATCTGCTACCTCTGCATGTTCCAGGAGCACAAGAACCACACTACAGTGACGGTGGAGGTTGAGAAATCGGGGAAAGAGGTAACGCTCCCCACTGCCTGTTCCCGTCATTCTTTCCACTCATCTAAATAGTGGATAGCCCCTGTTCTGTTCCCACCCCGCAACTCCCCCCACCCCAAAGAATGTCTAGGTATAAAGTTACTTACACAGGGGGGTGGAGCATGCAGTGTCCTTGACCAGACATTGCCGGTATCCTAGATGACATTAGTAAGGTGCTGATATGGTCGAGCAGACTGATCTTGGGGATGGGGGTGGGGCAACCTGGGTTCTAGCCCCGGCTGTGCCCCTAGCTCACTGTGTGACCTTGAGCATATCATTTAAGTCCCAATTTTTTAAGAGCAACCTCACATTTTGAAGGCCTCAGTTTTTCAGAACGCAAATGTAGTCAGGTAGGGCCTGGCTCGGGTTCAAGGTGTCTCCAGTGGGGGACCCAAAAGTGGCGGTCCTCAAAAAATCAGTGGCCACTTTTGAAAAGGTTGATCTGAACCTCTCTGGGGTTGTTTTTTCCCCCCCGTGGAGATGACAATAATGCTGGCCCTTCCTTTGCCGAGACAAAAACTGCACCGTCAATATGCCAAGTGTTGTTTTTACTGAGCTGTTCGCAAGTACAGAAGCTTGTAGGGCTGGAATCAGATCGAGGGACGTGATCGTTCCCCTCTATTCGACATTGGTGAGGCCTCATCTGGAGTACTATGTCCAGTTTTGGGCCCCACACTACAAGAAGGATGTGGATAAATTGGAGAGAGTCCAGCGAAGGGCAACAAAAATGATTCGGGGACTGGAACGCATGACTTATGAGGAGAGGCTGAGGGAGCTGGGATTGTTTAGTCTGCGGAAGAGAAGAATGAGGGGGGATTTGATAGCTGCTTTCAACTACCTGAAAGGGGGTTCCAAAGAGGATGGCTCTAGACTGTTCTCAATGGTAGCAGATGACAGAACGAGGAGTAATGGTCTCAAGTTGCAGTGGGGGAGGTTTAGATTGGATATTAGGAAAAACTTTTTCACTAAGAGGGTGGTGAAACACTGGAATGCGTTACCTAGGGAGGTGGTAGAATCTCCTTCCTTAGAGGTTTTTAAGGTCAGGCTTGACAAAGCCCTGGCTGGGATGATTTAACTGGGAATTGGTCCTGCTTCGAGCAGGGGGGTTGGACTAGATGACCTTCTGGGGTCCCTTCCAACCCTGATATTCTATGATTCTATGATTCTATGAATCCTAATGAGAGGGAGTCTGCAAAAGAGTGTAGTACCCTCACTATTAAGTAAGGGCTAAAGAAAGACCTTCCTACCTTTGTTTACAGTCTGTTTGCTGCGTGGATGTGGTATGCTTACTACAGAGGCATGGATTGAGGTCAGAGCCCCATTGTGCTAGGTGCTGTGTGGGCTAGTCCTTGCCCAGAGACCTTCCAATCTAAATAGATATGACAGAAAGAAAGGTTAATTATCCCCATTTTACACATGGGGGACTTGAGGCACAAAGAGATCAAGTGACTTGTCCAAGGTCACACAGGAAATCTGTGGCAGAGTCAGGAAATGAACCCAGATCTCATTCCTGTGCCTTAAGTGCAAACCCATCCTTCCTTTGAGGATTGGGAAGCCCCTCAGATACCATGGTGAACAGGGCAATACAAATTCCAATATGGACAGAGCTGCTGAGAATTCTTCAGTGACACTAAACACAGAGAACTGGTTTAACTCTTCCCAAGACCGAGCAAAAGGAAACTGCCTACCCTTTTTAGTTAAGTGCATGCAAGGGGGATTCCCAGGGAACCTAGAATGATCAGATATGTTAATGGTGAAGAAGGGAAGTCTATCTAATCTCCATCCTCTCATATGCAGTTTGTAATCTTGCTTGCAACATTGTCCTCATCTAGCTGCTTTTTAAAACCAGCCTAAGTGATGGTTTGCTTATATCTCAGCAACTCTCTGTATAAAGAAATCCCATCTAAATCCCTGAAGGTCTTTCTCAGTCTACAGGTTAATTTCATGCCTCGTTGTTACATTTGATGCTTTGTAGCATCTGCATCGCCCCTGTTCCCTTTAACATCATGTCTGATCTCAGGGAGGTCCCCACTTAATCTCTGCTCTCTGCCTTAGAACACTGGCCACCATGTTCTCTCTAGCGCTTCTGATTAACTCAGGTCTCCAAGCGGCCCTGTATCCTTGCTGTTGCGCAATGGACCTAGAACATCCTGATTGTAAGCAAGTGACCACAATTGGGCAGAAAGATAGCCTCCCCCCTCACTCAGGATTTAAGTGATGTTATTTGATTTCTCATATCTGTCTGTGGCTATTTATTTGGCTCTCATTAGTGCCATGGCGGAGCCCCTGGGGAACTCAAACAGGACTTCAAATACATCCCTGAACTGTTGTTGTTTCCATTGCTGCTAAGCCTAAAGGATTTAGGGGTTTATCGATATGAATCACTCACATGCACAAGGGTTTTCTAGACTACAGGTTTTGGCCATGTTGGAACGTGAATTAATTGGAAATCAATTAGTTCAACTGTAGTTACTCGTTTGTTTCTGGTGCTGGTTAATTCACTCTAGGCTGAGACATAATGAGAAAGGAACATGGGAAAGTGTCTATATTAGTATTTATAATGGCTTGTGAGTGGTGGAAGCTAATTAACTTGAATTAAAAGGCCACCACAAACTGGAGTCCAGAAACCTCCTACATACAATCAGGTCCTTCTGCTGCTCATCATCATCTAATAACAAGGGAAATCTGTAGGGATTCTCCTGCCTTGGAACCCACTGAAATTTATCCCATATACATTATTTTTCTTTCCCGTTACACTTGATCCTATTGATTGCTTTGAATGCCTGAAAACACAGTAAGACGCACCAGCGTCTCACGTACCAAACTGTATTTTCCTTATTGTAGGCACCTCTACAGTCCCCGACCATAGAGTCTGAGCACCTCACAATCCTTTTAATACGTTTACCCTCACACCGCCCCTGCGAGGTAGGGCAATGTTGTTATCCCCATTTTACAGATGGGAAACTGTGGCAGACAGACAGACAAAGTGACTTGCCCAATATCACACAGGCAAGTCTGTGGTGGAGCAGGGAATTGAACGCTGGTCTCCTGGATAGCAGTCCACCCACCAGACCATCCTGCCTCTCCCTGTCTTTCCCTCTGCTACACTGCTGAGTATCTGCTTAAAACCTCCACAAGGCCCCTTCCTGGTTAGTTTCCTGCTACAGATTTAAACAAACAGTAACACATCCTCAGGGCCAGGCTGTTTAAAAAGCAACAAATCATAAAGCTAAGATAGCAGTACAAAACATCGGCAAATGATGGCTGCCGATAGCAAATGCACACACACAAAACTGATTCCCCAAGAGAATTCTGCAGCACAGATGACACCCAGCATTTTAAAAGGAGACACTCAGTTCACAACCAGTTTTGTAGGCCTGTTTTCAAGCAAGGACACATCGGAAATACCCAACAACCACTGATCTGTAAATAGCATTGCATTACCGTCCATCCCTAGCCTTAATACTCTGTGTGTCAGATCATATCTAGTGGAGAGTGCTTTGATATTTTTTTCTTTTCCCTTTAAGGAAAAGTTTACATTGTACAGCAGGTTTAATGAAGTGGTTGAGAACTGACATTCAGTGACTGGAACTGGGCGTTGCTGGTTTCAACAAAGCGGCTTCTAAAGGGGACGGCTTTAAAAGGGGTGAACAAGACTTTGAAATTGACTGTTGATTCTGATGGTGCTTCCACTCACGGCCCTTTCTGTATTGTTACAGACTGTCTGCTACAGAGCAAACAGTGTGAGGTTTTGGTTTGGCTTGTCTATGAGACCTTGTGTACAGTGGAGGTTTCAGCCACTGGAGAAGTCTTGCTACTCTCCTAGATGTGATCTTAATGCAGACACTCTATTCGAGGGCAGCACATCTTGCTCAGGTGTAGTTACTGACAACCTGAAGACTGGGTAAGCTGCACATCATTGCTTAGAGCAACTTTGCTTCTTCGTTAAGATTTTCTGTTGTTGCAAGTTCAGTCACACAGGAACCAGGGCCAAATCCACCAATGTAGGTGAGGCCAGGAGTAACCTGAGCAGGGGTTCTCCAAGCTTTGCATTCTGCAGACCGTTATGGGAGGGAGAGCTTGACCCAATTTCCCCCCCCCCCCCCCACTGTTTGGTTCTTAAACTATTGGAAAAAAATTGCGCAGGATGAGAGCAAAGCCAATAGATCTGGACCTTGGGGAAGCCTTTCAGCACAGGGGAATTTTCCCTAAGTGGTGTAGAGCTGGCACATTGTCTCTATGATATCCTAAAAATCCCTCCTGTAAGGCTGCTCCCATGCATAGGTGTGGGGGTGGCTGAAGCCTCACTGTGCTCCGGCTATTCCCAGCTGCCAGAATAGCCCCTTTGGGCCACAAGCAGCTGAGTGGAATTTAGGCCAGCCCTGAGGCTGCTTTAATCTACACTGGATGCTAAACCGGCCTGCCAGGTAGCCCCAGAATAAAGGCAGCAAAGAGGCACCTTTCCCCAAACCCTCTGGTTGTGTGCTTGGATGTGCTCAGACCCTTAACTGGGTTTGAAAAAGAACTGGATGAGCTCACAGAGAATAGGTCCATCAATGGCTATTAGCTGAGATGGCGAGGGACTCGGCCCCATGCTCTGGGTGTCCCTACACCTCTGACTGCCAGAAGCTGGGAGTAGACGACAGAGGATGGATCACTCAATAAATTGTCCAGCTCTGTTCATTCCCTCTGAAGGACCTGTCATCAGCCACTGTCAAAAGACAGGACACTGGGCTAGATGGACAGTTGTCTGACCCAGTATGGGTGGTTCTTACCCACTAATGAATTGGGACCTTTGTCTTCAGATCTTTTAATTCTCTTGTCACTAGTTATGCTGTATTCACATTTCCTTCTCTTTCCCTTCTACTCCCAGCCTATCCTTAGATTATTTTCCCTGTTCTTTTCTGTGAAGAGGTTTTGCATCTTCCATCCTTGTTATAAATTACCTCTCCACAGAGCACTCTAATTTGCTTCAGTTACCCCCTCTCCCCCGCTATCAATCCACTTGATTTAATCTGCATCTTCCTTGCCTTTTGCTGGTGTCTTCGTAAGCTTTCCCATCTGCTCTTGGCCCTGGTGCCATATCTGGTGTGGATATCTACAATAGTTAGATTCTGGCTACCTAAATTGCCTCTGATTTACACCAAAAATTGTATTCTTGCTCTAAATCATAGAGAAGTGTTTTTTGTTAAAACAGCTGCCTCACTCCTCCCCAGAGGCAGCTGCATTTCAGTGCTGGAGGCAGGGATAATTATAATTTATACAATGAGCTAGTAATAATTGGGGAAATCTTGTTGGGATCCATTTTCATAAAAAGTACCATCAAAATTCAGGATCATCACCACCACCATCCATCCATCAGCTTCAATTCTCCTGACAGCGCTTTCTATCCAGTCCCCCCCTCCCTTCAGAAAGGGTCGATCCATCCCAACGAAAGCCCCAGTGCCCTGCAGACCTAAACCCCTCCACACTGTCACTTGCTTTTCAGCCACATGGCCAAGATCTTGTTCTTGACAATGATACCAATAACCCTTACGAGAAAGCCACCTTCGTAGTCCAACTCTTTCCTTGACTAACTATTCAGTGTTACCACAAGGTAACCCAACAGACCTGGCTGTCTGTGAAAACCCCTTGCCGTTCATTTCTGAATTTGGGCTGGCTATTCGAGGATAATGGGGGCTTGGATCCAAAGGGTTCGCATCCCATGGCGTCCCACCTCTGCACCAATGGTTGACTGTGACACATATATGATATTGCACAGCCTGAGGGAGAGAAAGAAAGCCTTCAGGAAGGCTGCTGCGTGGTCAGGGACGGTTCCAGCATAGGCTGCTCCGGGTAACCTATTCCCTAAACACAAATCAAGGAATTAAGTCTCATCCCTTCACCTTCCTGCTCTGAGCAAAATCTCCTCTATCTTAGATATTTGTATAGCCCCCCGCCCATTGTCACAGTACCTTTTCCTGAGGCCAATCCCCCTTCTTCCTCTCATTGTATGTGAGCTGGAGCTGGGGTGAACAAGCCCCAGACGCATCCCTTCCCCAGCCACTCAACCTGCTTATGTCTGTTTTCCAACCTCTGTACACCTGGAACCCCAGGACATGACTATGTGGCTGGTCACAGTCCAATAGCCCAGAGGGACCTCCCTGGACCTAGGAACCATAAAATGGTTTGGGGGACCCTTTTAGAGGATCACAGATACCAACAAGCAAAGACTGTTGTGAGAGAGATTTTGCGGGAGAAACAGGGATGCAACTTTTAACTCCGCTGAGATATATTGGAGTGGCTGGATTTTTTTTAAAAGGGGAAAAAACCTGGCAAATTATGTTTTCCCTGATAAATAGGGACTTATTAAAGAGGGACAGTTAGAATCAATGGGTCTCAAAAGCTGCTGTGGTTTGCCCAAGCTCAAGAAGGCACTCTGATACTATGGTGATGGGCACAAGTGTAAGAACCTAGTAAATAGATTTCCTTCGCTGGAGCTTGGTTGTTCTTGTTTGGCTGACTTTCTGCCATGTGCATTATTTATGTTGTGCAGCTGATCTCTTAAGTCATATGGTACTCCTTCCACTACGCGACTGGATGACTGAAACCTTTAGATCCTACTTACACTACAACTATAATTAAGATAGGGAACCTAGTTACAAGGGTGGTTGAAATTGCTAGAAGTAGCTAGAAGATCTACTTTTGTTAGCCACAGCTGTAGCAGCTAAATCACCTCTATGTGGCCCAACTTAGTACTCCAGAAACGGGGACAGAGTGGGTTACATACACAGTGAGTGACCCCAGCTGCCAGCGGAGCCAGCGAGAGTTAAAGGTACTTTGCATCTTTGAAACTAGCTTTAGCTTAGCTATGGGATACAGCCCAACTGAATCATATCGTAAGCACACCAGCATTACAGCCAGATTCCCTGACTTGGTTACAGTTATAGTGTAAACCCAGCCTTATTACCCAGACGTGGAAGACCTTGAAATAGCCACACATATTCTCCGGATGCAATTCACTGTGCTGTGCAAAGAGGATAGCCACCCATCTTGGCTGATCCAGGGACTGGACTAGGGACCTCCGGAGCTAAAGATATGAATCTCTACAACCTGCGCTAGGCTCTAGAGGTGGGAACTATCCCAACCTCACCCTTTGAAGACAGAATGTGGAGGGAAACACAGCAAACACTGATAGGTGGGTTACACAAACCCGTAATTGCATAGGTATTTGGGCTCTCTCTCTTTACATGAACATTCTCATCAACAAATAAAGCAGTTGTACAAATGTTCGTGAGAAGCCAATAAAAGGGATTCATGAAGGTATCAAAGGAAAGTTGCGGATTTAGACCAAGCAAATGTTCCCAGTCATCCCCGCACCCCCTTTTTTTCCCCCCTTGCTGCCTTCACCCAGCTCTATGAGAACATTAAAACCCTAGACTAAGAGCAAATTAATCCACAGTCCTGTCTAAACAGAATTCCTGCCGGGGGCGTCATCCCCTGGTTGCAACACTGATCAAACGTCATTCCATAATTACATGAAAACTGCTAGGGCTGCACAAACACGCCCTGGGTTGGGCCCTTCATTTCATACCCAGCTGAATTTTGAAACAAGCCTCTTGCCCTCTAGCTAATGACTCCAGCATGATTAAAAGCAGTACCATTTGCAATCCCACCCTTCCCAAGCAGGAGATTCTGCTGCTTCCTTTGCTTAGGGAGCCACATCTCTTGACCCAGCTGAAGGCATTGGGATCTTTTCCAGCTGCCAGGGTATGATCTCCATTGAAGTGGTGCCAGGAGCCTGTAGCTCCCAGCCATTATGGTTCAGGGCCAAATGCATAAGTAAAAGCAGAAATTCTCTTTGAAGTAGGCCATACGCTGCTCGATTTCACAGGTCTCCCCCTCTCCTCCCTCCCACAGGCCGAGCTCTCGTTGCAGAAAGAGCAGCTGCAGCTGAAGATCATAGAGGTAGAAGATGAAGTGGATAAGTGGCAAAAGGAGAAGGATCGCATCAAGGTGAGGATGGGACGTTTCTCTCTGGCTTTCCCCAAATGCTCCCTTCCCCCCCCACACACACTTTCCAGTGTTTTTCATACTTGCCTGCCCCTCTTGCCTGCCCCCTTTTCCCGTGCTCTGATTTTCCGGTTCATATTTTCACATCACACTCATTTCTCCCTCCTTCCACTCCTCTCTTATCACCTGATCAACCACACTCACTCTAAGTCTGGGAGAATGGTGTCTGCTGCAATTCTCTCATGACACACCCTGTAGGAGACCAAGAACACAGAAGATGGACTTGCTAGATGACTATCCTTGTTACTTTCTTGCCTGGGGTTACTGGTGCTTTCTCTCCGTCCAGCTGTCATCTCCAAAGGCTGGGTTGGCTCAACTATACTGGCATAGTTAAAATGATTCAGCCCCCGCAATATGGATCAAGTTATACCAATAGAAAGGTGCCTTATACTGATACAGCTTATTTTTGTATGGAAAAGGGTATACACTATACTGGTATATCTACATCCACAGGAGGGGACCAATGTAAATATCGGCCAACATAATTCATACCCTACCTGTACACCAGGCCCAACAAATTATGTACAGTCAACAAGAAATCCTGCCTTCTCTCAATCCTTCCACAACTGTACCTTGGTTTTCTTTTTTCCTTTAATATTATTTTGGGAAGCCAAGCTAGAAAGCTTCGGCCTGAACATGGGGCTATCCTTGGTCATTCTGGGACACAATTTCAAAAGGGCCAAAGGACCAATCCTCAAAGGTATTTAGGTACTTCCATTGGTTTCAGAAGGAATTAGGCACCAAAATACCATTGAGGACATGGGCCTAAGTGACTTATTTTCAAGTGTCACTTCAGAACCTAGGACTCTCTTGAAAGTCCAAGGGACATAGGCTTGTCTACACTAGAAATGTTTGCTACTGTCACTACACTGGTATAGTGTATACACTGGTATACACTGGTATAGTTAACATGGCAAAAACCCTCCAAGTGTGGACATATTCACACCAGTACAAAAGTGCTTCTCCTGGTGCATCTTAGTGTAGTATATATAAGCTATATCAGTACAACTGCATACACACTAGAAGTAATAATGCTATAGCCATACTGGTAGAACACGACCCTAGCAAATAGAGTTATACCAATGTAACTTTTATAGCGTGGCCAGACCTTAGGTTAGGATCTCTGCTCCCATGGGCTGGCTGCTAAGAATGCTCTGCCACCCCCCAAGCCTCAGTCCCAAGAGTTTCACTCTAGTAAGTGACTCCCTTTAAGTGACACTGATGAATCTTTATTTTGCAGTAGCACCCAGAAACCCCACCCAGGGTCAGGGCCCCATTGTGCTGGGTGCTGCCCAAACACAGGCAGGGTCCCTAACCCAGAGAACTTACCCTCTAAGAAGTCTCCATGCTACACTTCTCCCGACACAGCCTAGGATTTCAGCCTCTCCAGCTTGCGTTTTGATAGGATAGGGGATCTGCATGCACAAATGCTGCCTAACGGGATGAAGGGGCCTGGCCATGTGTGGAATAGCTGGAGGTGCTGGGGAGGGATGTCTGCCTCCAACATCATGCGGTTCTTCCTCTCCTGAATCTACATTGCGGTTGTGTTCGATTGCTGGAGTCCCCGGTGCGAGAGCCTCATGCCATGCACCTTCTATATCCCCCCACTAGAATTTCACCACCAACGAGAAAGCCACCGTGGATCAGCATTACAAAGAGCTGGTCCGCGACCTGGAGAAGCAGCGGGATGAGGTGAAGGCTGCCCTGGACCAGAGGGAAAAGACCGCGGTGGAGAACATAAAAGAAATTGTGGAGGAGCTAGAAGAGAGGGCAAAGCTGTTGCAGGAGGACAAGGAGACCAGGGAGCAGATACATCAGATCAGCGACTCCGTTCTCTTCCTGCAGGTAAATCGAGGCTGCATCTTTCCTCCACTCCTGTTTCTACTGAGAAAGGGATACCTTTGATGGGCAGATGATCCAGCTGGTGCCACAGGCATAACAGAACGGGGTCAATTGATACCGGCTGGCAATCTTGCTGTGAAATGTCAGGGTCTGTTTTTTTGGAGACATACCCCTGACATAAGCAGGAATCAGCTAGCTGAGCAGGGTATCCAAGGCTTTCACCCAATTTCAGAGGGAGTTCACATGATACCATATTGCCTATGAGCGATGCGCAATCTTAGCTGATTGACCCTGATACCTCTCCTGAAATCTAACATCCCCCAGCCTCCTCAGAGCCCTTATCTCCATTGTATCTAACTTCTCCTGTACCCAAATCTCTCTTTAGCCTTCTCTGCATTCCAGCCTCTCGGTACTTTAACCTCCACACCTTCTGGGTTGGCAGGAATTTGGCGCAATGATGAGGAACTATATCGCCCCGCCGTCTCTCCCGACTTACAGCGTCTTGCTGGACGGGGACACCATGAGCCCGTCGATGGGGCTCCTCCGGGATGATCTGCTGAACGTCTGCATGAGACACGTGGAGAAGATCTGCAAGGCAGACCTCAGCCGGAACTTCATAGAGAGGAATCATATGGAGAATGGTAGCGTTTCCCTGAGTTGCTTTTCCCTCCCTCTTTCTGCTTTCTGTTCATAACCAGAGTCACAGTATTTCCCTGGGAAAAAAACCTTCAACCTTCTTTTTTTTTCCCATTGAAATTTTCCAGCCAGCTGTGCCCATTTCCCAGAGTCCAGCAAAGGAGGTGACCCAAAGTCAGTGATCAAGTCAGAGCTCAAAGGTCAACAGACTTAAGCTTCTGAGTCACTTTTGAAGATTCAAGAGTCTAAATTCTAAGGCCAGAAGGGACCACTGTGATCATCTAGTCTGCCCTCCTGTGTAACACACAATTGGACTTCGCCATCTGTGACTTAGGCCTTCCAACACTGATTGTAGCAATGCTTAAATATCTTTACAAATCTCAGGCACTTTAGAAAATTTTACCAATAGTTTAATGGACACTGCTTAGAATCTGGTTAATGAGTCCAAAGGTATTCAAACTGTTGGGAAAAGTTATTTAAGGTAATCCAAAAACTCTTTACAGCTGTCATGTCTGCAAGCCACAGTTACACTTGAAAGAAGACAGAGTTTGTATCTAGTGACTGCAAGGAAATAACTCTACAATTACTTATTGGCCTTAATTAACAGATTCCCCCTGAGTCAACCCAACAAGCTCACCTGCAACCCATTTGATCTTTTGTTGTTAAAAACTTCACCGGGAGAAATAATATATTAGTGGAGTGAAACCTGTTTAATATCAGTCTCCAAAGAGACTCTGCTTACTCTTAGTTGTTACAACAGGTGCCCGCTTAAGAGTCTTGCAAAGGGGCAAAACATTCAAACAGCATCCTGAGAGTTTTAATACTGCAGAAATAAATCAGAGCAAATAAAAGACAACTCTATTCACTAATGTAAGAGTCAAACCAATGTAACTAACAAACTAAACATTGGGTCAAATTCACCTGTTTGCAGAGAGCTAGCAGAAGGCTCACACTCCACTCAAGGCCTCACAACTAAGCTGAAGTCAGATGTAAGCGGCACATAAGCCTCGTGTTGGCTCTTTGCACAGGGTCCTGTCCCTAGAGTCAAATCCACTTAGATAGCTTTGTGCTGTACAGCCACCATCACTTCACCCCATTCCTAGGGCATTCCAAAGAGCCCTGGGTAGGAATTGCAAAACTAAGGAAGTCTATTTTCAAAGGATCCATCTTGCAAGGGCAAAATGGCCTTCCTCAGACCTTTAGGGAGAAACCAAAGGGGAACAGCCCTGGCCTATGCTGCCCCACCCCACCCCCACCCCTCTCGCCTCTGCTGCTTTCAGTCCTACCTCCTGCTGACCCAGGCTTTGCTCCGCTTCTCCAGGGGATCACCGCTACATGCTCAACAACTACGATTGGAACCAGCCTGATAACGTGAAGAGATTCTCCATGTTCCTGACTCCAAAAGGTACCGTGGCTGACCCTTTTCTCTCAAGCTCTCTGTCTGCCACGGCTGGGCTTCCTCTAAACAAAGCATGGCAGATAAGACTCAGACATGCAACATATGCCTTGTAATTTGCTTCCTCTGACCACTTACTTTTCACATCACCATCCTGGAATTGGGCAAATTCAGCCCTTTCATACTGTTCATGCCAGGTCTGGATCTGGCCCCATGTTTTCTGTTTAGCCTAAAAACACAGAGACATTTTTGCACTCTCTGAAACAGGGCAACAGACAAGGTGCTGGCCAGGGTAACCGGCTTTGAATGCTTACATGCTTCAGTGCGAAACCTGTAGGAGCACAGAAGGGCTCAGGGCTTCTCTCCCTCGGACAAAGATGTGCTCTTACCTTGTCTTAGCCAACATGAAGTAAAACCCGAGCGAAGACGGGGCAGTTTGAAGTTTTAACATGAGTTAGCAGGCTGAGCTCTTTACCTCGACCTGCTAACGTGTAGGAAAGCTCAGGAGACTTGGGTTCTACTCCCAGCTCTGCCAAGGGATTGCTGGGGAACATTGGGCAAATCATGGCTCTGCTCGCTGCCTGAGTTTCCCCATGTATAAATTAGGGATAATGACGATTCTTGTCAAGCACTTTAAGATGGATGGGGGGAAAGTGCTGTATAAGAACTAGGTATTATTATTATTACACATTTTAACAAAACAAGTATTTCAATACGTGTTGGCTGGTAATGTTCATCCCCTACCAGCTAGCACATGTTAAAATATAACTTTACCTGTCTATACAAAGGTGTTAGCGAGCATGATTTACACAAGCACACCTTTTAGCGTAGGGCTTGCCTTCACGGGGAAACTGAGCAACAGAACAACAGTGATCTAAGTATGCCAATATAGCTATGCTGGTATAACTCTATTTCAGAATACAAAGTGGCTCTCTCTGGTACAGCTTAGGTTGATTTTGAAGCTGTTTAAGCGATACCAGAAAAATGTCACTTTCAACCCTAGAACAGTTTCCACATGGCGAGTTACGTTAGCGTCGGTTCAGCAGTATAAATGTACACCTGTGTAACTACCTGTGTTGACGAGCCTCTAGTGAGGACAAGGGGCTGCTGCCTTGCACCTTGTTCTGTCACTTACACAAAGAAAATGCAAAGTAGGTATAAACTGTTACCCTCCTGAATCAGTAGCGTTCTACAACCATTGTGTCTGGTAGAAATGACCTCACAGTGCAGGTTAGTCGAGAATTCGTTGCCAGTATAGATGTATATAAATAAAAAAGAGGCAAGAAGAGAGTAAGATGATATGTGAAAATGGTAACCACATATTTAAGGTTCCCATAGATCTGACATTTGGAACTGTCACCTTTCAGGTTCTGCTTCCTGAGTTTCCAAAACCACATTTGGATTTGCCCAGTGTTTACAGCTGTTGCTCTGCACAAATAGATGTGGGCAGAGTGTAGGCCTGTGGCTGCTATCTGTAATTAACAATGGCATTTCCCTGTTTTGCAATATCACCTGCTGGGTTTTACAAGGGTGCCATGTGAATGCCAACGTTGATCCATTTGTCTGGATTCCCACTTTTCCTTTAAGGCTCATTCTCTTCTCCTCCATTTCAGCCCATACATGGATTCCCTAGCAGCTGCCTTATTGGCTCCCACATGTGTTTGTGTGAATGACAAGGACGTAGCACTCTAGAACTCATCCCAGCAGTGCTGCTAGGGTACACTAAGGCTTCAGGGCCTGCCTCTTCCTCAGCCCAACACAACTGCACAATTCCCTACTAGCCTGCCTAACCAAGGATCAAGTTCTGGTTGTCAGACTGGAGAAGGGCATTTTCTGAAGGCTTCTTTATTTTGCATGTGGTAGGTTAATTTAAAAAGGAACCTAGATCCAAACCATCCCTGGTTCTAAGTTACAGCTGCTGCAGTCATGACACAGCTGCTTTAGGTCTTTACAGGTTTCATCCTATCAGGGAAATACTCTGGACAAGCTAGACTGTCGGCCAAAGTTCATGTAAAGAATCCATCTCCCCATTTCCCAGAGCTGGCTGCAAGTCAGCCACACCCCCTCTCAAAGCAGAAAAACTACCACACAGGTCCAGGTCTTTGGGCTGTTAAGCCAAATGTCCTGCCTCTGGCAGTGGACAATTCTAGAGATGGGTCAAAATCAAAAACCTGGATCCTGAACCCCTCTCAGCCTTGGGGCTTTTAAAATTTGATCTGAATTTTGCAGTCCGAGATCATCTCTAACCAATACCTGATGCTTCAGAGGGAGGTGAAAATTCCCCATAATGCACTGAAATATTCGCTGCACAGAGAGAATGGTGGGGATAGATATTTCCTGACTACTGCGGCTGAAGCATGAGCTTTGAGCACACAGAATGCAGATATAGTGAAGTGAGGGGAAAAATCTTGAGTTTCTTCTGTCCAGTGTCACTGAGCTCCGCTGTGCTAATCCTCCTGGAACATAGAGATTACTACCTACAAGACTGGGGTTCAGAGCTGCAGTCCAATGTGTGCTCCACTTGTTACCTCCCCTTCCTACTCCATGCTGGAGGAGAACCCCTGCTTCTTTGTCTTACTGGGGAGCAAAAACAAGCTGATCTTGCTACACTGCCTCCTGGCTGGGAGCAAAGATCTAGCCCTCCTGAACGCCCCCCTGTATCTGCCAGCAACCTCTGCAGGTGCTGAAGAAGGGACCACTCCCAGGCTGAAGTAGAGGGGCTCTCTTGGCAGGTAGGCCCTCTCCTGTTGTACACAGATTATAAGGCCACTGATCATCTAGGCCCAGCTCCTCAATGTATTTAGGCACCTAACTCCACTTGACTTCCATGGAAGTTAGGCTCCTAAATACCTTTGAGGAACAGGGCTCTAATCTGATCTCCTGTATCACACACTCCGTACGATCTCCCTGAATTAATTCCTGTCTGACCTAGAGTAGATGTTTTAGAAAAGGATCCAATCTTGATTTAAAAATTGCCAGTGATGGAAAATCCACCGTGATCCTGGGTTAGTTGCTCCAATGGTTAATTGCCCTCATTGTGAAACATTTGCACCATATTTTCATTCTGAATTTGTCCAGGTTCAGTCTCCAGTCATTGGATCATGTTTTAATCTTTCTCGGCTAAACTGAAAAGCCCGTTATCCAACGTTTGTTCCCCATGTAGGAATTTACAGACTGTGTTCAAGTCACCCATTAACCAACTCTTGGTTAAGCTGAATGGATTGAGCCTCTTGTGTCTATCGCTATATGGAGAACTGCACTGAATGGGACATTCACTTTAATAAACCATATGAGAGTCACAGATGAGTAGTGCACAGAGCTGGCTGAATGCTGCAGAGCCATGGTTGGAATTCACACAAATGCCCTCAGCCACTCCTTGGTGGTTTGTTATTTGCGTGTACACACTGTAGGAGAAGCAGCTGCTGCCCTAACAGCGCCCAGATTGGCACAAGAACAGGGGATTCGTTCCCTACCAAGGCTACTCCTTAGTTGGTATTTGCTCTCAATCATTTGCTATTTCTGTTATAATCAGCCAATGAGGGAGTAAAATCAAGACCATGTAATTTAGGCAACAAATCACCTACTTTGAAGAATAACAAACAGCACAGAGTGAGAAAGTGAATACTTCCCAAAAGACACAGGGGGGTTGAAAACTGTTTGTCCAAAGATCTCAGCAAAGAGCTACATGTAGTAAAGCCATTTGCAGACAGCAAGATTGGTTCATAAAGGATTTACAAACAGGAAAGAGGGCTGGATCCCAAACAACTATTCCTCATGACAAATAACTTCACAGCAAGTGATCAAACTTGTACATTCCTTCGATACCCATCTCAGTGCATCTCTCCCTGCGTTTGAACAGACACCCCCTCTTGATGCAGTGCTGGGGACCTTGCACCCCCCTCAATTAGTTTTCAGAGGAAGGTTTTTACCAGTAGGGGTTTTGTGACTGGGCACCACAGGGAACCCCTTAGCACTTGCTAAATACAGGGACAGTCATCTGCTTCAGAGCCTTCTAGCACAGTGGTTCTCAAACTTTTGTACTGGTGACCCCTTTCAAATAGCAAGCCTCTGAGTGCAACCCCCCCTTATAAATTAAAAACACTTTTTAATATATTTAACACCATTATAAATGCTGGATGCGAAGTGGGGTTTGGGGTGGAGGCTGACAGCTCACGACCCCCCCATGTAATAACCTCGCAACCCCCTGAGGGGTCCTGACCCCCAGTCTGAGAACCCCTGCTCTAGCAGCAGTAGCTAACTCAAAAATCCTCACAACAATCCCTGTGGCATGGGTCTTATTCTGTGCATGGGGAAACCAAGCAAGGTGAAATGACTTGCCCAAGGTCACACAGCAAAGTCCGTGTCAGCACTAGAATTAGAAGTCAGGAGTTCCTGGCTCTCAGCCTGGGGTTCCACACACACCACTCTCTAAAGCAAATGATTTAGTGCATGTGCAGATTAGCAGCGAGAGATCTATCTAGAGGATACTACAGGGAAGCAAGCATGCAATGCTTAATCTGATGGTCCCACAGTACCATATACAATGACAGGCTGCCGAACCAGCTAGTGCAAGTAATCCTATTGGGTACTAGAGTGATGTGGTCAAAGGTTATTGGAGTTGGATTCATTTGCAAATCAGTCATTTGTGACCATCTCAACCCCTCATCTAGCAAGAGGCAGCTCTCTCTCTGTTTAAACCACCTGCCCACATCTGAAAAGTTAGGACAGGGAGGTTACTTGCCCCTGTATCTGGGAGCGGTGCAGATGTTACAGCACGTGAAAGGAGCATGAATGGAAGTGCTAAAATGAGAGCAGCCCACAGGGTGGTAGCAGACGCATATCGGAGATCCGACTCCTTTCCTCTTTGCATATGCCCTCAGTGCCTGGTTGCTTGGAGGAGAGGTAAGCCGCGGAAACCCACATCTCTGCAGCAAGTGCTGGGGAAACCCTGAAGCACAAGTCTATGGTGGTGGAGGTGAAGTGAGAGTGTGTGTGTAAGCAAGAGTCCCAGCCTCTCCCTGCAGGTATTCTCTGGAAGATCATCACGCTGACAAAGCTTGAGTGGGCAACTTAATGTAACTAATGATGGCTTTTTGTTACATTGACGGAGCTTCATTCACACAGCTCAGAAAGAGGGAGAGAGAAGCCGCCCTTCTTTTCCCACCCAGGGCACTGTGAAAAGAACAGACAGACAATTCTTCTGCGGCTTAGACCGAGCCCTCTGGCTTGCTTTATCCTCACCTATACCGTGTTGGTTCTGATTCGAAGTCTGTCAGGAGGACTGTTAGTGGAGCAACGTCAGGGCATGGGCCTAGGTCTGGGACATCAGGAGCTGAACTGGATTCTCTTCTCTTGCAGCCAGTTTCAGCAACCGAGCGTGGGAATATTCCTCCTTCCAAAATGCAGAGGAGACACTTGGCATGGGTAACTCTGCTTTCTCAATGAAAGGTATTCATTCCTACCACCTGTGCTAGGGCTTCTCGCCGGTTTCTACCGAGTCCACCCTTGCCCTCTTAGCCACCCTGACACTTTTGGGCAGCCCTATCCCACTATTTGAACCTTTTCTATTTGGTTTATATCATCATCATCTACATTACAACCAGGTTCAGGGCCCCATTGTGCTACACGTAGTTGGGGAGAGTCCCTGCCCCTTATAATCCAAATAGAGACAAAGGAAGGTAGGAAATATTGCTATTCCCATTTTACAGATAGGGAACCGAGGCACAGAGAGATTAAGTGACTTGACCAAAGTCATGCAGGCAGTCTGTGGCAGACACAGGAACAGAATGCAGATCTCCTGAATCTCAGGCCCGTGGCTTACCTACAAGACCATCCTTCTCCTCATCTCTGTTTTGTGTAGATTGAAAGCTTGGGGCACAGACTATGTTTGTATAGTGCCTAGCACAATTGGGCCCTGTTCTTGGTTGGTCCCTAGGCACAACCAGACTTAACACTCGCCCTTCCTCTTCCATCTCTCTTCATTTCTCTGTTCATACTCTTAACATTTTCTCATAGCTCTTCCACGGCTAGCAGGATTGTCTCCCTTTTACCACATGCTCTGCTATTAGACTCCCCTCAGCAGGAAGGGCCTGATCCAAAGCCCTGGTGAGGACTCCCGATGACTTCACTGAGCATTGCCCAGGGTCCCAAAGGCTGATGGTGAAGGAGCTTTGGTAGACTTGGAGTCTGCCTAATGATTCTAGTTTGTGGCACACTGGTTTACTAGGGCCTGGCGCCGGTGCCATCCATACCGCATCACACACGCGCCGTGGTTTCTCAGAAGAAAGACTCTTCCCTCTCTATGCAGAGCTTTGACACCATACAAAAACCCTGCTAACATCTACCTTCTCTCACCTGGCCTGGCCACCTCATATCTACTCCCCCATTTGCAGCTCTGGCCTGGCCCTTCCCTTCCTCCGATGGGTCCTGCTGAGGTTTTCAAAGTCCCCCAAGGAGGTTGGGATTTCAGATCCCTAGGCAGCTTTATAAAACCCAGACTGCCACCTTCTCCTTTCTGTTTCTGACCCTTAAGAATCCATTAAAACTAAACGAGATAGCTGTTGGGTAATTAACAGTCCTTTGTTTGCATTCCCAGGGATCTCAGTTTCCTTCGCCCAGCAGGTGCCAGGCTGTTATACAGATTGATGATTACACAGATAAGGACTTTTACCCCTGGAAGGCAACATCTCGAAAGTAACATAAGCTCTTCTCTTTTCCAGTAGGTAATGGAACTAAGATGCCGTATCAGTTCTCCCAGATGGGGCAGAGTTCACCTGGTGACTTCAGCAAACAGTCCGATGGGAGCCTCTTCACTAAGACTGGTATGGGGCTTTGGGGATTTAGCTGCTTTATACGTCCCTCTATCTGCTCCTTCCACCCCACTGTTCAGGAGTTAGATTCTGTAGTGACTGACCTGAGGGGGGTGTTTAATCCCATTCTCCACTGCTCCCCCTGTGAAAGGCAGCCTGGAGTAATGGCACACGTGGCCCCCTGAACACTCATTCCAGCTTGGTTATGGGAGTAGCTTAATGAAATGCAGGATTTTGCTAAACTTTGGGGTTGTCAGATCTAATGAACAGTTTGGGGTGATTTGTTGGAGGGAAGGGAAAGCAAAGGAGTTATTTGGGCAGTAGTGGGGGGGGAGGGAGGGATTCTGGTGAATGACATTCATTGACCCCTCCTTGTAATATCCTAATGGAGACACCTTTATGATCTTAATAATGTGGGCAGCAGTGTGGTCTAGTAGATAGAGCCCTGGGTTAGGACCCAAGAGACATTGGTTCTATTCCTGGCTTTGCCATTGGCCTGCTGGGTGATCTTGGGCAAGTCACTTCCCTGCTCTGTGCCTCAGTTTCCCCATCTGTAAAATGGGGATACTGAAATACTTTGAGATCTACTGATGAAAAGTGTTATCACCATCAATTAAAACAGAGGAACATGCACTTTTAGGGTGAAATCCTAGCCTCAGACTTCACTGGACCCAGGATTTCACCCTTTCCTCCTCACTGGCTACTGCCAAGAGTTGAGATTGCATCAATTCCTGCTAAACAGAGTCAGGCCTGGCCAATAAATGAACGGGAGAGCTCAGGATAAAAGCTATGGTTAGGGTTGCTGGAATGCCGTCTTTCAGCTTAGCTGTAAATCCAAGGTCTTGATTTTTTGCAGTAATTAAAAATCCCTTTGCATTCTTTGTAAGAGTTAGAGCAATTAGTCTGGTATCTTGGCCTAACTTTAATTTGGCTAGTGACATTCTGCCTCCATAATTTCCCCTGACATTTTAACTGGATAGGTTATTTTTTCACTCCCTTTCCCTGAACTGTTGAATGGTGGTGCCACTATTCTAAGAGATGTTGCAATCCACCCCAGAAGTGGTAGTATTTCGGTGGTAGACGATAGGATTCCTAACTATATGTATTTTCTAATTCTGTAATTTCCGATGGTGCTTTCAAGAAGGGAGTAATACACAGAGCAGATCATAACCCCATCACTGCTCCTAACTAGCTAGTTTGTATTGTCGCAGCTTACCCTGCAATAGTGAGACACCAAGCAACAAAGGTGCAGCCGCAGACATGGAAATCCTCCAAGCAGTCCATGCTGGTAAGTGATAAAACCTGGACTTGTGCACTCATGGGGCTTCAGCAAGAGAAGGAACTGCTATGGGAGCACACAGGATTTTGGGAGTTTTCGGGGCATTTTGGATCTGGAGAAGGGGCAGCGACTGACTTCACCTGTGACAGTATTTCTTATTTTTCGTAGTCACCTCCCGTGTCACTGGGAGATGGGCAGAGTTGCATGGTTCAGATCAGATTCCAAACCTGCCCATGGCTCAGAAATGTTTGGATGCAGGGTTTTGGTTCAACCCCATTTCCAATCTTAATTTTGGGGCTTTAAATGGAAATATGCTCCAGTCTAGACTTTGCCACAGTTGCTTAAATTCTGCAATATTACTGTTCACTGCATGGAGGCAGTGGCGGATTAATGATTTTGCCACCCTTAGGCCCAGAAATAACTGCCGCCCCCCCCGCCCCCCAGCAGCTCCCACCCCAGCTCACTTCCGTTCCGCCTCCACCTCCTCCCCTGAACGCGCCACCGGGTCCTGCTTCTCCCTGCTCCCTGCCAGGGCTTGTGCGCGAAACAGCTTCGTGAAGGAGGGGGGAAGTGGGGGAACAAGGCGCACTCAGGAGAGGAGACGGGGCCAGGGATTTGGGGAAGGGGACCGGGAAGGGATGGAGTTGGGGCGGGACTGGGGGTGGAGGGTGCCAACTGGCACCGGGGGAAGCAGCCGCCTCTGGCTGCTATTATAAATTTGCCGCCCCTGCAAATTTGCCACTCTAGGCCTAGGCCTTGTCGGCCTAGGCGTTAATACACTGCTGCATGGGGGTCACCTATTATAAGTGTGGGCAATGGTGCCTAGAAAACACATTCTGTGGAGTCTGCGCACCGCAGACCGGAGCATAAGACTACCTCACATACTGATCACACAGCCTTGAAGCCTGATGGGGTGTATCAAGGATCAGTCTCTATGAAAAGTGGGCCCAAATCATTGCTACTTTGTACCTTATGTAATCATTTGTACCACTCCAAAGTAGTCATAAAACACTCCTAGACCCATGTGGTCATGTTTTGCACCCATTTTCCACTGGTCTAACAAATACCAGTATTACCAACCCCATGTGTTCAAATCTCACAAGTCAGGCTGTCCAAAACTCAAGAGATTTTAAAAATAGTACATTTTGGGGCTGATTCTTTTTACTTGCCTTCTGCTTTTTGAGCCTTTATATTTCATGTTTTCAAGATTTCCTTGAAACCGTGACGGCTAGAGGCTTACTTTTCTTTAAAAAAAACAACAACAACAAAACAAAAGCAGAGATTCTTAGGTAATAGCCTGACTCCAGGAGCTGGGGCTTCACAAAAACACCAAAATATCTCAATTCACAGGAATCAGAAACACTGGACTACAGAAGGTGCAAGGCCATTTTATTTAATTCCTAAATAAAAAACATACTGGATTAGCAAGCCCTTAGCAAAACAACTGATCACATAAAAACCTACTTGAACCTATCTATCCTGGTTCCTTTATCTCCCTTAGCACTGAAATATCTTAGCATCTTGCAAGATCTAAATTAAATGCACAAAGAACCCTTTCTCCCCCTCCCAAAAGAAAGAAAAATTATTATCTTTTAATAATTATTATGCATTTGTAAGAACGTGCCATTGCCTTAAGAATTAGAAAGGGAAAAAAACATAGGAGTTAAGCACACTTACCAGCTAGAAGAGAAGAATACAGCAACCACTTGCAAAATGGCTGCTTTAGGGTGACAGCTGTTTGGCTCTGCCAAATTTAAAGGACTCAACCCAGGAAGGCATGCTGGGAAAATGTTTCCATAAGAGATATCCCTGCAGTAGGGGAAGTTAGGAGAGACCAGGAAGTTGCTGCTATAGCACATTATTATAATGGGGGAAGCAAGACTAGAGAAATGGGGTTTCCAGTTCCATCTGACAGTGATGAGACTGAGTGCAGATCTACTGTCTCCTAGGAGTGAGCCCCACAGTGGGCATGGACCTGTTGTGACAGTCCAGTTCCAAGAAGGCAATTCACACCCTTACTAGTGCCCTGTTATTAATCCAACAGTCTGGGTAGATTCCTCCCTGTAAACACTTGGATGTCTTTTGCATGCATATAGTAGTTGGGGCTATTTTATTTTTATGGCTTATATTCACCAGATAGACCTGAACCAAACAATCCAGATGATATATACGAGCACTAAAAAGTTGCAAAACAGATACACACGCTCTGGACTGCCGTGGCTCTGTAGGAGCTGTTACAGTCTATTGGGTCAATAATCTGGCTTTTAAAATAGCCTTAAATATGTATTTAAGTAATCCACCTTCTAAAAGGCCTGTAAATATTAATTCACACACCGGACTGCAATGCTCCAGGAGGCCAGAACTGCCGGCCCTCAGAGAGTTATTTAAAGGGGAGCTTTTCTTCTTTCTTTAATTATGCTGGAAATTGGAGCTGTAAAGCAAATAGAATTGACACACAAGAGGGCATTGAACAGTAGGTATTAGAAGTATGGTCTGAACAGCAGGATTGGATGGGCATGTTACATCCATCCATCCATCTCATGCTCATCATCGCATAGTGTATGCGATGTTAATTGGCATGATTAATAGAGATAAGCCCAAACCAGTCCTTTCTAGCTATCTATCCAACCCTTCCCAAAATACAATCTGGATCTAGGTAAGTATATCACGATGAAGCAAAACCAAGGCTGCCTTTGCTTTGACCCCATTGTGCCTATGCTAAGCAGAGGCATCTAGGTCATGAAAAGGCTGATTTGCTCATTTACCTTTGTGCTGGTTTAGCGCATATTCATGGCTGCACTAGTTTTGACACTTTGGTACTCTGGCCACATCAGCATATTTTTGGAGTGGAACTCACAGGGCCCAGCAACACTGCTGGGAGCAGAGGCATCTGGGTAATTTCCATAAACAATGCCCTGCATTCCAGGAGGTAATTAAGAGCACCTGTTGACCTGGTGCAGCTACACGCAGCAGAGAAGTCATGGTAGATTTTACTAATACAGGTGGCTCTGAGTTGAAGATCTTGTCTGGGATGTTGCAACCAACTAGTACAACTAACCCATAATGTGGCTGTTGTGTTTTACAAGAGCTGCAAGCTCCCTCGTTCCAGCCAAGGTTGTTTTTTTTGCTACACACTCTTCCCAGGGGTAAACATGGCCAGACCATCCTGGTGGTAACAGCAGGATGACTAGGTTAGATGCTGATGGGAAGTGGCACAACTGAAAGCAGCAATGCACAGAGTGGGGGGAAGTTTGTAAAATAGATGCTCAAGTTCAGCTTTGTTCCTGCCCCTTTATCATTCACGAATATTCGCACAAACTGGGTTTTGTTTACACAGAACCCGATATTCACATGTGGACTTGAGGACCGACAACAGCACTGGTTATTTAACAATGGTTATTCCTTACAGTCACATTTAAGGGCTTTGCGTCATCCAGCCAGGGAGCAGAAAAACACCATGCAACTTAGCTGACCCATCACACACAGTGCACAGGTCAACGTTTGTGAGCATCCTATAGATTCAAATTTTAGTTCATCCACAATTTTAGTTCTGAGCAATGAAGAGCTACATACAAAAATCAAAGGGTGAAATTCAGCCCTGTCCAGAGGGCTGGCAGCAGACACATGTACTACCTAAGTCCTATTTTGAGGGCTCACGTGGGATTTAATTAATGCAGATACTTGGTGTAGACCCTCTGCCTCAGAACAAAACTCACCCGAAGCCTGAGTGCAGTTGGAGAATAGGATCTAAGTTTGCAATGAATAAGTCAAGCGGCTCCAGTTTCCGAAAAAGGGGAATGGGTGGTGTCTCACTGCTACAAAAATGTCTGGAACTGTTAATATATAACAGTTTGGGTGGAAGGGGTATGTGGGAGGGCTAATTAGATGGTGGAGGCAGTGCAAACTGATTGTAAGTCAAGGACAGACTGCAAGCTACAGTCCTTTTAATTCACATGCCCCAAATTCTCCATTGCAGTCACACCACCGTCCCTTTTACGTCAACAAAGGCAACGGAATCACTTCAAATGAGGCACCTTGAATCCCGCTGTCCATGGGAAAAGCCAGCTGTGCCAGGAGTGGAGAACCAACCAAGAATTTTCACATATGAACCTGCTACTATATTAAACTTCCTGCTCTAATCTCTGGAGAGGCTGGATTGGGTGGTCGGCGCTAGAAGAAATGAGGACTTTTCCCAACTCATATTCGGTCCCAGGGCCATTTTATATTTCCCTTGAAAGCTCTGCAGCCCTGGAGAACTGTAACAAGTACAACCCTTGTAGATTTCTTATTCCCTGTCTTGCAACACCCTCCTCTGCCTGCAGAGCAGATTGCTCTACTTCTCCTAGGTGCTTTGGGGAAGGTGGGATCTTGGATATGGTATGCACTGAGCCCTTCCCCTCCACAGTGCACTGAGCCCTTCCCCTCCATGTGCTTCCTGCTCTCCCGACCACATAGTCGTCGTTGAATGAATTTGTAGAGCTGGTGAAAGGTGCCAAGTTGGAGTCTGAAGTCCTCTTTGAATCTAAAAGGCAGGGTCATCCCGGGAACTGGCAGGCCATGCTTTGTCTATGCTCCTCCATCCACCTGCCTCAAACCTAATCTGTAGGGACCCCGCCCCCATCAGTGGAAAGGGCAGCTCTGTCTCTGTGAGCCACTCAATCCTTGGCCTCTCTATGGAGACACTCTTGGGCTTCCCCTTGCCAATGTCCAGTGGTTACCACATGCTGGACACCACCTCCTCACTAAGGACAGCTCTGAGTCCCACCCACCCATCTCACAGTGGCCACCAAAGAAGCATCAGCCTGTAACCGCTTCCAGTCACTCCTCCCCGGCGCTGGCTCCCAATCGATGGCAAAAAGGCTCTACATCCCATTAACATACCCCCCCCCACCCGCCCCCGGCCACCGCTTCAAATTGAAAAAGAAAAGGAAAATCCATCCCACTAATGGAAGATTGATTAGATGTCTTAGGTGGGTACCCCCCGCTTTTCCCCCCCAAACAAAATTGGCTTATATATTTTGGTTCCCTTATTTTTTTCTGGATCAGGAATTAATTTTTTTGTTGCTCAGCGTAATATTTCAGGGTTGTTTTTTTTCTGACTGCGCTCTGGACAGAGCGGTCGCATGACCGTTGCCAGCCAGAAAGCAGTGCAGAGGCGGTTAGTGTTCCAATCATCCAACTTAGCTTTTCCCTCTGGGCAACAGGGAGGGGTCATTGTAGCGATGGAAAAACTCCAAGAGCATCGGAGCTTGCTGCTGGAACTAAAGGCACATTGCAGGATCAAGGCCTGGCTCTCTGACAATGATAAGTCGCTGCAGAGCCGAGATGCTAGCGTGTGCAGCTACTTTTCGTGACTTGTTCAGTTCAAGCCTTCCTCAGGGTCACAGCCAGCCCACCCCTGCTCCCCGCTCACACACGCATGCAGCACCTGGTTGAGTGAGGTCACACCTATTGCTTGCTGAAAATTACTTTGTAGTTAATCCCCATGGCAAAGCTATGTGCTGTTTTTTAATCTGACTCTGCAGACAAAACTTCTGAGTCTGAAAGATGGTTGCTCCAGAATATTTGAAACGCCTCCTCTTTTATATCCGTGTTTTAAATGAAAGGAAGGGGCTGGGGAGGGAGAAGGGGGCTGGGGCTGGGGCTGGGGTTGGAGTTGGGTGGGAGTGGGGTTGGGCTCGGGTATCCGTTTGCTTTGATAAAAAAAAAGCTAGAGTAGCATGTGTGCATGTGTGTGATATTAAAATAAACGACTGACCACACTGTTGTTTTAAGTCAGGAGCGCGTGGGGGGGTGGGGTGGGGAACCACAGGTCCCGAAATCACGGACCTAGGGAAACAGCACACAGTAATATAATATGTTTAGCAAGCAACAAGACAAACCACAGGGGAAAGAGGCAGTGATGCATTGTCTAGATACCAGGGATGGGGTAGTTTAGGAAAAAGATTTCCCTGGCTTCTCTTCCAAATACAACAGCGGTTGCCTTTTTACAAAAAATGTCCCCCATCTGGGCTCTTGAAAGGCACTCTGATTGTTTTAGTCTGATAAATGCTCCCACTTCCTTCATGTGTATTTGTTAAGAGACAGGCGTGACTCCCACAACCCCAGATCTAAACAACCCACAAACTTTGGGGGGAGCTCAGATTTAGATCTGAATTTCATTACAGGCTCTTATGTCTATAATAAGGTAAACTGACCACTTTCTGCCTCCCCGAGACCCAGTGTATATATGTCTCATGCCCATCTCGATGATATTCCCTACTTTAGATCTGTACTCTTATGGGCCTGATTCTGATCTTGCCCACACCATTTTTTACATTGATGTAACACCATTGACTTCAGTGGAATTGCTCCTGATTTACCCCAGTGTGAGAGAAGAATCAGGCCCCCACTTTCTCCAGCCAGCACCCCTAGTTTGCTTGAGACCTTCTCGCCCAATGGAAAGCAATCATGTATCAGGCAGGGCTCTTGTCCTTACTGTACCTCGTGGATTAGCACTGAGGCTTAGAGGTGAATTTTGCATGAACTGTTTTATTATTTTGTTTGTCTTGATCAACAAAGCAGAAACGCCACTCAGAATTCTGTCTTATCAGGCAGGCCAACGCTGTGCCGATGTAAACGAGGTTCTTGGAGTGTGCAACCTGCACTGCGGAAATAAAAGAGAAACCTCTGTCTGAGGAGCAGCTGGGGTCAAGATCTCTCTCTCTGTGGATTGCGTGTTTACATTATTCTGGATCACTTTTAGGGCCTTCGAAAATGAGAGCCACAAATAGAGCAGGGGAAGGGCTGAGTGTACACCTGCTGTGTGTACCCCTGGCCCTGTAACATCCCCTGACGTATAACAAATCCCATTGTTTTAACTCTGCGCCCTCTGCCAGTGCATAGAAATCCAGATGTGCAGAATTCCTAGCTGGCCCAGGCCCTCTCACACATAGCTCCGCTAAAGCACCTCGCACTTGCTCTGCAGCCCCCAACCCCCCAGCTAGCCCAGTCACATCCCACCCACACAGCTCCTTCCTTCTAATACCCATTCTTAGGGCCCTGCAAAACTCTGCCAGTGTCATTCACAGCTTGCATCTTGGGCCGAATCCTGAGCACGTGCAATTCCCCCTGAAGGACAGATTTGGCAAAAACTGCCAATCAAACAAAAAAAGACCAGAGAGCAGCAGTTTTATGATATAAGGGGGCTGAGCTGAGGATGCTATTTCACCCATGGCCTGGGCCCAGGTCTCTGTAACAGGCTGGTACATTATAAGCCGGTTCTATCTACCAGCAGGTCCCCCACACTAACTTAGCTTTACAAAACCTTCTTCCCTGGAAGCAGCTCTCCTCCTATAGGAAGGATTGAACTTCACCAGAACAAGGTTGCTGGTGAAAGGGGCTTGATGCTAAGTTAAATGTAGTGGGAAACCAAAGTAATGGCACTAGAATGAGAATGGTTATGTCTTCAGGGCCCAAAGGCTGGTCAGAGCAGGGTGAAGCTCTCACTGTGCTCAAGAGGAAAGATGGTCCAGTGTTTAGGGTACTTGCCTAGAAATCAGAAGACCTAGAGTTAAAACCATGCTCTGCCACAGACTTCCTGTGTGAGCTTGGTCAAATCATCTAGTCTCTGTGCCTGTAAAATGGGGATAACAGCCCTGCCCTATCTCAGAGGGTTATTGTAAGGTGCCCAGGTACTGTGGTAACCTGTGCCATAATAAGCCCCTAAGATGCATCTCTTTCCAGAGGATGGCTGGCTCATTTCATGCCATAGGATGCCTGATGGGTACCTTTTCCACACTGAGGATCTCTCTTGCTCTCCAGCAGAATGAAGCCAGCGCCACTTAAGTGGAGAAGCCAATAAATCCTGCTCATTTATCCCACATGTGTTTATGAGCGCACACATCTCAGCTCTTCCCCATCAATTCCACTCGCTGCATCCATTACTGTTATTACTGTGATTAAAAAGCAATCACAGGGAATCTTCTTCCGGTCCTGAAATTACTGAAAACCTCTTTGTTCCTGCTCCTAAGCATGAGGCAAGGAAGTTACAGCCTCAGCCTGCACTCCTGTCTCTGTGACTCTGGGAGAAAATAACGAACCTCAGCTCCTGGGAATGAACTTCAACACCAGGCCAGCCTCAGAGTCAGTGTGGTAGCATGGGGATAGAATAATGAATCTTACAGCTGCAGGACTGTGCAATCCCTGCTTAGAGAATCCAGTCAGAGCCAACCCTGAGACACAAAATAATGAACCCCCCCCCCCGGGGAGTGTGGTCCACGCTCACAGCTCTGTGACACTGGGACAGAGTCTCATAGAAAGAGACAAGCCCCAACCAAAGCTGGATCTACACAGCCCTAAGCTTTGGGGAAGTTCAGACCTGGATTCATGCTTCGATGCTTGGTCCCAAGCATTACAAGACCCCCCTCAAAAAATTCTGAGGTCCAGTTCACCGCCCGGCCCCTCTAGGAGCTGCGAATCAGGTTGGAAATTTGACAAGAACAGAGATTTTCAGTGCTTCCAGTCCCAGTTAGAACAGGTGCCGGGCTGACCTTAAATTTTGCCAGACCCTGTGCAACATAAGACATGCAGGCCCCAAATCATATCCCTCTTCCATGCCAAATATATAGTGAAAGCAGCTTGATGTCAGAGGGTGGCAGGACAGCGGTAGCCTTTGGAGTGGCAGGCCGGCATGCTTTTGGGTGTTTCCAGACATTGGCTGATTAACTCCAGAGTATTTTAAAGCCACATCACCACTGCCACAGGGCTCCCCTCAGGTAGCCCTTCCTCAGTTTAGATTCTAAGGGAGAGAAAGGAAACAAACTACAAGGAGAACATAGCCAAGGTGATGAGCATCTCATGGCCAGCCAGCAGCGGGAGGGTGATGGAGCTGGTGCTGAGGGCCCTGCAGCTTGGCTATTAGAGGGGGGAGTAGATGAAAAGATTCAGAACAAGGGTTGCGTGGAGGAGGACAAGCCAAGAGGGCCCTTCCTATTGGTTGAGACATTCAAGACAGACCCAGCTATTATTCACAGCACAGAACCAGCTCTTCCTGCCTGGGAATTATTCTGCTGAACTCCTTACGAAACTCAGGAGAGTCCGGATCTAGAGTCTTGGTGCAGAGGAGGGGTTTCCTCAGCAGACGAGTAGTAAAGACTCATCGGTGGACAATAGCCAGGGCTCCCCCCTGCCCTGCACCTTGAGTGGTCAATTTACATCCCTGCCACCTCAGTGTAAACCGCTACCATTCTGGTTTGCGACACCACCACTTAGCGCTGGCCTGAGGGACAACAAAAGGGGCAAGGTGACAGGGCTCTCTTGTCCCTGCTCCCCGATCTGCCAATGCCAGCAGCAGGGAACATCCTGGAGCAGCAGGGAGGAACATTCGGACACCTCCACCTCTAAGGGGAGCAGACAGAAAATTCCCATTGCTGCCTTTCCCGCACATCTATTCCCATAGCACTGGGGGAGTTCCAAGTTTGTGAGACACGAGCGTCCAATAGATGTCAGCATTAAACAGCCTTTCAGTTGCAGCATCTTCTGTGCCGCACATCCCTGTTGCTGGGCCCTTCTGGGGATTACCTTCCCACGCTGGACCAGCATTAACCCTTCGAGATACTTCATTTTGACATGGCGCTGGGGAAAGTAGCCGCATGACTGCTACTGGCAGGGAGAGCGGATGGACAGCTGCACGCCTCCGTCGCCACCCTCACCTGCTCAGGCTGAGAACTAGATGGCAGCATGGTACTGTGAGTCTTCCTCTTCTCGAAGGAGGCTGCAGCTCTGGTGTTGCAGGGCTGAATGGGCAGAGGCAGGGCTGTGTGTTCAAGCACGTCGCACCCCTGTTTTGCCACGAGGTACCCAGGAATTACATGGCAAAAGCCCAAAGAAGGGAACCGGACTTGACCTAGGAAAGTGGCACTTGAATCAAAGCTGTTCTTCAGAAAGGGGTGGATGAGCTGCCTGTCATGCGGACCACTGCTGTCCCATTGTTTCTTTGCACACCCTGTCCATCTGTATCCGTCCTTGTCTTTTCTCTTATACTCAGTTCTCTGGGGCAGGGCCTGCCTTTTCGTTCTGGGTTTGTACAGCACCCAGCACAATGGGGCCTGGGCCATGACTGGGGCTTCTGGGTGCTACCACAATAGGAGCAATATATGAGCCGCACTGGGTCTGAACGGTGAAGCTGAGACCTGAATGCAGACTCTTCCTCTCTCACAGTCCAAGGGAGCTAAGGTGGAGTGAAGGCTGCAGCCCGCACGCTGGCTGGTGGCCTTTGTACCCTTCCTGAACGCAAGTGTCGGAGCCAGAATCCAGCCATTGGAAAACAGGATCAGGTGGAGTTAAGGCTCCTCTGCATGCCCCTTGGGATGCCATGAAAAGCCTGCAACCCTACCGCAGCCTATCCCCTCCTTGCCATCTTCCCATGCCCCCCAGCTCCAAGGCATAACAACTGTTCATATAATTGAATGGGACTCTCCATCTGGCCTGTGCGGCAGCACAACTGCTACTGGCTGAAGGATCGCACTGGACAGGATGAGATGCCTCATTGGAGCCAGATGCACAATCCCCCACTCCCAAACAT